AAAAAAACAAATAATTTTCAGCTCTATACGTTAATGTTCAGTATAAGTTATTTTAACACCCTGATGTATCCAAGTACACACGGAAGGTATACAGGGTAATGAAAGGTGTTAAAATATCCTTATCTACTCATATTTACGGATATGTACGTAGATAACGAATGTATTCCCGGTCTTAGTCCGAATTAGGTGATTTAAATTGAAATTTGGGCACAACGTATAACGTGAAAACAAGGTTTTTTTTTATTATTTAAAAAAGTTTTATTCAAATTTGGTAATTTTTAATGGGATGTAGGGTACTTACTACCTTTGATAGAACCTTACAGTTAGTCAAACATAAGACGTGTTTAACCTATAGACAGATAAACTAGAATAAATCAAATTTGGCGCGCAATGTCGCAAGTGTTCATGCATAGATAGGGTGACGTTAACGTGGGTCATTTGCATAACTAGGTCAGTAGTCCCGTTTATTGATGACGTAGTAACCAAGTGATGCATGTCCTAAAATTAATGTCAATCATTGGCATTATAGGATAAAATCGTTAGTAGATTACATATTTAAGTACAGACATCGTGGACAATCTACAGAATAATATGTTTCATTATGAACAACCACGGAAATGAGGAAAGCGCGCGTGAAGTTCCCCGGAGTAATGAGTAGCAATGCCCGGGTAAATGGGTTAGCAAAACCCGTGGCTATGTGTATTTTAACGATGGGCAAGAGCCAATCAGGAGCCGATAAATATACTAAGCCGGGGATAATTTGTTTTACAGCTTTATAAAGTAGTAAAATACAATAACTTGTATCCATATTGACTGGTTACTCATTAAATACTTTCTATCAGACATGTCGATCTCTTTATTGGATGTTCATTGTCGAATAGAACAACATTGCCTCTACATCTATTTAATTTAATTTGACTACACCATTTATCTTTTCTTGTTGGTTTTTTTTTTTTTTTTTTAGTTTTAATAACACCAATCATATTAATTGCTGCCGTGTATTAAATAGCTAAAAAATTGAAAACAACACGTTGAATAATGTCATGCGTCCGAAGCGCTTTTCTGGATTTACCTTCATCAGGAACGCTCAAAGCCAAACATATGAAATCCGAGGGATGTATAAACTATACTGAAAGTGCATTCTAAATACAAAAGTATTTACTAGTATAGTTTAAAATTGATGAAAGGTAATGTCAAAGTGAAATGTGTTAATAAAGCCATGTTTTGTGTAAAAAAACTTTTCTCTTAATGAGTTGATACGTTTTAGGTGTACATATTTTTTTATTGTTTCGATACAGAAATGTATGTTACAAATTTTACATAAAAATGTTTTTTTAAAGAAATATAATGTTAAAAAATCAGACACAAATATATCTCTCACATTAGAATACTTCACCATAACATAGTTTCTATACGTCATTGCTTAAGCATATGTTGTATTCTATGATGTATGTATTTGTATTTTCAGCAAGTAAGTGTCAAGTACTAAATAGATAAGTATAGCTTTCAATCATTTACATAATGCATAACAGTTTGTCATATTCCTCCTCAAGTGTTCAAGTATTTATAGATTCTATAACTTACAAATTTTGGGGTAGAATGTTTCCTGTGACGGTAAGTTCAAACAGTTTCTGACACAACATATTTATCAAGGGTTTGATCGTGATTTTTTAATGTACACACATTTTTGTTCAGCCACCCTTAATGATCGGTATTATCACAGTTTTCTTAGTAAATAAGCTCGGCCGACAAGTGGAAATATGATACTTTATTGATTTGTTGAGTCCGAAACGCTTTTCTCAATTGACATTCAATATGAACGCACATGCCAAAATAAAGCGAAGTATGTATTGCTTATTTAACATGTTAATAGTTTTATGACCAAAATGGACAAACGAAACACGAAATATATCTAAGTTCAACTTAAGGGTGTTGGAAAAAATGTCTTTGATAATTTCTCAATTTATAAACGGATAAAAAAAAGTATGTTATAAAACAAAGCAAAGTATACATATCAGTAGAACTTTATTATGACAATACAGATAATACCTATTAAGTCATTTAAAATAATACTTTTTTCCCTCGTACATCCCGTCGAAAAAATAAGCATTCCCCTTATTTAGTGTTGTTTCACGTTCTTATATTGTTGTGTTAAAGCCATACGATACATAAAAGATCCCTCGTTAATTTTTTCGTTAAGATTTTGACACAAAGTCATTTTTCATATGAACTATCGAACTATGCAAGCAATATATACCATCATGATATACTTTTCTAGATAGTTCAGTTTGAAATTTGTATGTTTCATGTTAAAACACAAAATTTTATTTTTTAATACTTTTCCGAAAATATAACACAACTTGTACATGTAAACGGAAAGAGATATTTTCACTCGTTTTTTTGCAACGTGTTCCTTCAATTACAAGACAGTCCGTATAACATGTAGAATGAAAGTTTATGCGTTAAAATGTTTGTAAAATCATACAATTATCGGTAATAAAAAGCTGAAGACACATTTTTTTCTAATACAAATGCATATAGAAAAAGTTGTATTGTTGATTTTTCTTGCAATTTTGATTTAACATTCTTGAAGTAGTACATATTCGATTGCAAACTTAAAAGATGGGAGTTCATGAGCTATTTTCTTTTAGCTAGAAATAGAACTTTACTTTTTTAAATGCTGGAGATTCCATTTCACTTGTTGGCGCTAAATTACGTTACAGTGTATTCTTTATGCAACATAGTCGTGCATTTTTCTCTCGCCGTACATCAAAACGCAATACGAATTACTGGCATATTCATAATGAAAAAACCACGTTTTTAATTATATATGGATTTACCTTCATAAGGAACGCTCACAGACGAATAATTAAAAGACAAGGATGTACAAGAACCGAAACAGTTGAAGAGCATTATAACCAAAAATGACATAAACAATAGCCACATCCATCTAAGGTCAACTTTGACTGAGAATGTTGAAACCTTAGTTTCTTTATAATTTCAAAATCTATAAATGCACAGTTTTAGAAAGGTTTGTTATAAAGCATGTCATACCGAAGTACTGACTACTTAGCTGATGATCCCCTCGGGGACTGATAGTCCACCAGCAGAGGTATCGACACTGTGCTGTACAAAATGAAATAACACATTTTTAATTTCATGCGTCCGAAGCGCTTTTCTGGATTTACCTTCATCAGGAATGCTCACAGCCGAATATTTGAAAGCAAAGAATGTATATGAAGCGAAACAGTTGAAGAGCTATATAACCAAACAAGACCTACAAAAATAACCAAAGCCATCAAAGGTCAACTTTGCCTGAGAATGTTGAAATCTTAGTTTCTTTATAATATCAACATTTATAAACGGACAATTTTAGAAAGGTTTGTTATAAACCATGTCGTACCAAAGTACTGACTACTGAGCTGATGATACCCTCGGGGACTGATAGTCCACCAGCAGAGGTATCAACCCAATGCTGTTAAAGTATTTAGATGTATCGATAATTGAAAAGTAAAATGTCTTCATTTGTATCGAATGTTATGTCCCGCAGTTTATTTCGCATGATTAAAAATACTGCATGTTTAATTTCAAATGCAAATACTTTCATCTTCACATTACCGATTTGATGACGTTAGTGATTTTTTCTGCGAGTTCTGTATGCTTATCATTAGCAACGTTGCAAAAGAAACGCGTTAAATTTGGATACATTATTATCTGCCCTTGCTACTGTATCGTATGCTCGTTACATGTTGGGAAGAGTTCAATCCTTGAAATTTAAGCATTATGATATTTTCATATGCGATTGTTTTGTTCTTACAACACATACCGAACTTTATTATATTTTATAAACTATGATTGTTGGGAAGTGCCATTTCCTGATATCATCGGATATCAAAACATATAATGAAAAAGTCGATGCTTCAATTATATTCAGAATATCTTAAAGATGAGATAAGAATACGGTTTGGATACTCACTAATTATGTTTGATTGAGATACCTATTGTTAAAACTTTTTTAGCTTTATTCACCTTGATCTACTGTGAAGTAAATTTTAGTTTACCGATGTCGTAAATTGATTACACAGTGACAATTCAAGGTAAAACATTCTGTCAAATGTCACAACAGAATTATTGCAATCGGTTGAGACGGCTCAATTGGTATCTAAAGATCTAAGACGAAAAACATGTCGCTTCTGAGTTAAGATACCGACACATCGTATCGGTCACCCAATTTCTGATGGTGACCTTAAAACTGATGCGGTGTCGTTCTCAGTAGTTCTTCCGCATAACTATTTTGGAGCAGTTTTTGTGTAAGAAGCACATCCCTGTTTATGAAATCTGTATAGAGCGAACATGCACGAGCGTAAGGTATTAACTTAGATATGTTAACGCCATACGATTGGGCAGAGGGTGTGTTACTGCTGGGAGAAATTGACAAATAGAAAGTAGTAGTCATCACGTTTGTCATAAATTCCAGTATGAAGATGTCTAGCTATGTCAATATTGAGGCAAAGATCAAGATATGAAGTAGGCCTTCTAGTTAAGATAGCATCCTTTATCATGTTTTATCTCAAGTTCACATGATGAAAACCTACATGTCTGTGTATTCTAAAGACCTTTGACATTGAGGTATTCTGTTGTCTATCTGGGAGTTTTTGGTTATCTAACAATGTTCGATATTGATGTATTCAGTTCAATATTCCTCATTTATCTCACAATCTTCTACATTGACATACCAAGTACACCCCAATGTGCATAGGGACATAAGCAATCTTACAAAGTGACATATACTATTTTATACCCGATCCAATTTTTTTGTACTGATCGTATCTGTTGATTATCCAAATGCCTAGGTCAAATGATGTGTGTTTTGCATATTTTCATTTTCTTACATTCATCTGAAATTTAAGCACACTTCTACATTATTGTTAAATGTTATATATATTTTGTCATGTGTAATATTAAAACCCTCGACTGGGCGTTGTCTGATGTTTATCTGTGCACCTATGATATATAACAATTTTCGACATATTATGCTGTAAACCTGAATGCCTGATTTTTTTTTCAACAGTATGTGCCATTCAAGATCGGTTTCTTTCAATAACGAATGAAATTTAATTCCAATTTATAATAATCGTATGATCTATTACAGTCTGAAGACGTAGTTCTAGAATTCCATCAAAAATTTTCTGTACTTTATAGTATTCAAAATATGATTGTACCATTATCTATTTTGAAATGGCTGTTTTTTTTCAATTTCAGTCGGTAAGTTGCAACGAGTATAACGAATAACTTTGTAGCAATTGTGCTTTTTAGAAATTAGTTAGAAAATAAGTGTACAACTACCTCAGAAAGAGTTGACCTGAGATGGATACATAAAGATAAATGTACAATAATACTTAACTTGGGTTAAACACACTTCCCTTCATTATGTATAACCCAATTACGATTCAAATAACACAATGTTGTATGATTTCCAATGAATAATGTACACAATAAAAAATACAAATATTAAAAACACAAATAAAATACCCTGGATATATACAAATATGCATGCCTGATAGGTTCGATACGTACTTAAATTATTACTTTTATCAGAAGTCCGAACGTTTTTTTAACATGATATAACATATTATCATTTTAGCTGTTCCTGTGGAGGGTAAGTTCTGAAAATAACAGTAATGATTTGGATATCTCTTTTTTGACGATATGCAGTACATAATGTGAATTAGTCCTCAAAAGAAATAAAAGTCTTGCTTTCACAATAATATGTATAATCTATAAACAAAGCTTTACATAAGTGAATATAGATTAACTTTGTTTTATATCTCCAATTAACATTTAGTAGTAAATGTTATCGATTTAAGAGATATACTTGTAATATGATTGTACTTATTACAATATGGTTCGACAAGAACATGCAAACATTTCGCTCTGTAATTTTTTTTAATTGTGTTGTTTACAAGAACTTGGAACAAGTCATAACACAAATAATAAGACAATTTCGACAAATATAGTATGGACATGCAAAACTATGACATTTTTCTTCTGAAGCTTTGACCAGTACCACTGTTGTTCAGTAAATAAATGAAAGTAAACAGCATCAGTCCACACTATAAAAAAAATCCATAAGGTTTCGATCAATATAGTTTATATTATTCAGACCTAAAATTAACCAATCAATTTGCATCTCAAAGGCAGAAACACACATTTCAAATAGCAAATATATTAGGAAAATCAAATAAAGTATTATATAACACATGTATAAGGAATAAACTTATTGAGTAACAAAACATGCATTTCATTAATTTTCAGGACTTTCGGCAATATCGATTAACAGGAACAAGACATGCAGTATCACAAGATGATCGAAACAGATAATATAAAAACGTTTCCTTCTATAAAATGAACAATTTAAAACAACGTGTGAATCTTATAGTGTTTGTTTTCAATTGTCTGAATCAAACGTTGCTTGTTTGAATTGGTGTTATTGTATATTGAAATATGTTACTTCTTATTAAATCCTAACAGAAACTTTGCAAACAGTTTACTACAATGTTTTTTTTTACAAATGTTTTCTTTTTACTTGCATCACGGGTTTTAGTCATACTTTGATATTTTCTTGTATCAGATAAACATAAAAGGCTCTGTGTGTTATATTAATTTCGAATTAACTAATTTACTTCACTGGCATAATGTGCTTCATATTTGACGGATTTATTCAGCAGTAAAACCAAGATAATAAGGTTTACACTATTTATATATTGTGTTGGGTGTATTGGGTACCTTGTTTTGATCACCTTACTTGTGATAGAAAACAAGCTAGGCTTTAACTTTAGAAAATACATAAACAACGTGCTACTTTGTTTTCTAGTCATATATTTGCTGATATATCCAGCCAACGAACGTTTTGTCACTCATCTTATTTACTAAGGTAAACAACATCCAGGACTTATAAAATCATAAAAGTGTCACATAACTAATATCAATATTGAAGTGTCCGTTGTTAGATATATATCATCAATCTTTACAGATGGATTTCACTTTACTAGCAATCCTACAATTAGTTTTACTGTATATTTTTAATAACTGTTAAATATTCTTATTTGTCGGCTTAGTCGTACAGCAAGTGACTGTGGTGTTTGCAGAAAATTATTTTTTGAAATAACAGATGCATGTTTAAAGATCTAACAAGCATGATTCAGGCATTTAAAAATTCAAACATCGTTAACAAGATAACTTTATTTGATTTATACGAGTTCTAGGGTCAAAGCTTTTTTTGAACAAATGTTTTGGTTTGTGTCCCTCGACTAGTTGGCAGGTGTGTTTTTTGTAAACACACTGTCTGACACTCTGTCTATCAATCTGCCTGTTCTGCTGTTTTTCTGTCAGCACTTCAATGTCCTATGATAGTCAAGATTGTGTCAACTGATTTTCAAAATGGTTATGCACATTGGTAATACCTTGAAAGAAAGGTCTTTTTATTTTCGTAGAATTATGACAAAAATTTATGTCAAAGATAGTTTTCGCATAAAATTACAAATTTTGTACTTTAGTGGTAGAATTTTGACAAAAACTGACAAAGAAATGAGGAATTCGGTGATGTCTAAGTGTCTGATATGATCAATTACCAGGTTATGGATTTGGTGATGTCTAAAAGTCAAGGAACAGTAAATGTGCTGTTTAAAATATGTTTGTAAAATTTGGATACGACTTTGGCTCGTTGAACTGTAAATGAAAATTGAAAAAAAAAAATAAAGCATTTATCTCTTTTATTTTCTAAAATGTTACTGACTGAATTAAACAGGTGAACAATTGTATAGAAATCACATAAACTCAGCGAAAAGAGTTCTTTAATTTGATTACAATTTTCAAATTTTCAAAGGGGCCTCGGTGGATGAGTGGTCAAAGTAGTTACTACTGTAATCGCTAGCCAGTCAACACTGAGGTTGTGAGTTCGAACCCCGCTCGTGCGGTGCACTCGACTCCAATCTTAATTGACTAGGATTGTCAGTTTTCCTATCGAAGGTCGGTGGTTTTCTCTGGGTACTCCGGCTTTCTCCACCAATAAAAACTGGCCGCCACGAAATAGCCCAAAAACGGTGCTTAAAAGTGGCGTTAAAACACAAAAAATCAAAATCAAATCAAATTTTCAATTTCAAATACATAGATGTTTCTTAAAAAAAACTATATTTTGTCGATACATAATTTTCCGTTGTAATGAAATAGAACAATCATATCGACTTCCTTTTTTGTGTATTAACCAATCTGTTTACAAATTCGTAGTGCACAACGTCACAAATCGACGTTTGGCGACCAACAACACGACGACGTTACGCTTATTTCGACGTTTTGCAGTATGTTTTTTTTCACCTACAACACCACCTAAATAAAAAAAATACCATTAAAACGAAGTCGGTGACCCTATTATTATTTTAAATCATTAAAACTGAAATTTATGTATGAACAATATATACTATTTTCAGAAAAATCTATGTATTTAAAATTGAAGATTTGAGTATTTAAAATCAAATGTAAGAACTGTATGTGCTTTCTATAAAAATGATCGTCGATTTTGACAGAATTCAATTAGCATGATTAGTAATACATTAGAGAATAAAAGAGATAAATGCATTATTTTGTTGTTTTTTTTTTTAGTTTCAGTTATTGTCTAACGAGCCAAAGTTGTATGCAAATGTTACAAACATCTGTGACAGAGCCCATTTACTGTAACTTGACCTTAATGTTCGATAAAAGTGGGACGAAAGATACCAGAGGGACAGTCAAACTCATAGATCGAAAACAAACTGACAACGCCATGGTCAAAAATAAAAAAGACAAACAGACAAATAATAGTACAGATGACACAACATAGAAAACTAAAGACTAAGCAACACGAACCCCACCAAAAACTGGGGGTGATCTCAGTTGCTCCGGAAGGGTAAGCAGATCCTGCTCCACATGTGGCACCCGTCGTGTTTCTTATGTCATTACAAATCCGGTAAATAGTCTAATTCGGTAGGTCACATTCGTGAAAAAGGAAGGGTATTGTAGTTACGACATAAGGAACATATCCGATATGATCTGTGAAACGGTTATTCCATAAGAGTTAATTGCCAATATGCTATTACGTCATTCCAATCACTTTATATAACGTTTCAACATATGTTATTTAGTAACACGACAGGTGTCACATGTGGAACAGGATCTGCTTACGCATCCGGAGCTCCTGATACCATCCCCGGTTTTGATAAGGTTCTGGTTTCTCAATCTTTAGTTTTTATGTCATTTATAGAGTTTTGTATACTGTAGTTTGTCTTCTGACCTTTTTAGGTTTTTGTCATGGAATTGTCAGTTTGTGCATGACTTAAGAGTGTGCATATCGCTTTGGTATCCTTCGACTCTCTTCTATGATATGCTTTTAATATTAATTTATAATGCCAGTGAGTGTGACATTTTCCATTAAAACCTTAATTTCTGTTACAAATTTTAAGATTTTGAGAAACAACTATATGTGCTAGAAATTCAACAAAAATGGACATTTAAGTTATGAAATGCTATTCAAAATTGATTTATAATGACAGCCATTTTTTTCTTTCATGATTTGGATGTACAGTTTTCCATAAAAACTTATTGTGCTATGAAAATTGAAATATAGTTTAAATCAATTATTCAAATCGAATCTAGGTTTCAACATTCTTTTTGAAGGTGGTTACAAGCTACTTCTGTAAAAATATCAAAGAAATTGAGAATTATCTATTTATATAAGAATTGAAATAAAAATGATAAATAAGTATAATATACTAATCAAAGGACAAAATCATGCATATTAGGATGCAGATTTTTAAAATTCCTGGTTTCAAATTTGCAGTTGAATCAAGAGTCGTGGCGAAAACTAATTCTTTTTTTTTTTAAATCACAAATTTTGTTAAAAATGTACTTATTCTTAGATTTCAAAACAGATTGACATGAAGTTATTATTCTCAATGTCAAATACTGGGCAACAAAGTATGTTTTGTGATAGAAACAAACAAATCTAAAATCTAAGAAACATCTGATTTGTGTTTATATTTTAACAAAATAATTATCATATATATAATAGTATGATATGTATTTCAAATTGATTCCTGATGTTAAAATTATAAAAATATATTTCAATTAAAATCAAATATAAATAGTATGTTCTTATTTTCTGCTGGTATACCACTCTCCATAGTAAGGGATGCAAACATGTTCAGTCCGGCACATTATGTATGTGCCTGTTCTAAGTCAGTGGCCTGTAACTAAGTGGTTGTCGTTTAATGTTGTGTATCATATTTTTTTTTGCGTTCATTGTTTTGTATATAAATCAAGCCATTGGTTTTTGCTTTTGAATTGTTTAACATTTGTCATGTAAGGCCCTGTTATACCTTATTATGCTGTATCGCTTTCTGCTCATTGTTACCTATAGTTGCATATTTCCACGTCATTTGATTTGTAATGGAAAGTTGTCTCATTGGCACATATTATACTAGATATTCGTATGTTTATAATGTAGATCTAATTTGACATCAAAATTAGTCCGTGTGTTAAAATCATTGTAGTTACCACTTCCTTAAATGCCCGCTAAAAGACATATTCGTATCCGTCATAGTCCTGACTATGAATGAAATATTTGGAAATGCATATTAAACAACAAATAATCAAAATCTGAATATATACGTTTAGTTATTGATATCAAACCTATTTATATAACTTGTTTATTAAAATGAATATAACAAATATCATATTACTAACATGGTGCATTGTATACTTACATGCATGGTTAATCTAAGACATTGTACAATGATTCTACAAACCCAACGTTCCCTGAGCGCTTCGGTAATCTAACAATCTTCGACAATGATAAACTCGGTTTTAAATAAGATAAGTACTTGCACCTTGGTTTAGGTTAAAGTCTCATTATTGTAGTAATGGGTGAAAGCGGTGCGCAGTATTGACTTCGGACAAATTATATACCTAGATTTGCATAGGTACCGTTTATATTGTGTTGGATTGATCCTGGTCAATGCACACACTGTGACTGATGAGACAGTGATGCGTAAAATTGATCTTCAACAAACCGTCTTTATCATTGGGACTAGGGGTCCAATATTAATTAATGAATTTGGCAAATACTTTACAGATTCAATAATCTAATTACACTTTATCAATTTTTTTTTTTTTTTTTTTTTGACAGACACATTAGGATAGTTGATTGAATTTTATACATATTATTCAACTAATAATCAATCACTCACCAAATCAACATTTTAGCTTTCCTTGATATGTTCGTTTAATCGTCTCAAATGCATTGTTAATGTTACGTTTTTAATTTCCAAGTCCCCTTAATGTTGTGAACAAAATTATTTCCGTGAAATACCTAACAACTTCCTAACATAGTTTATTAACATTGAGCACATGAAAGTTATAATCTGTGTAGTGTTCTTTTAATAAATATATCTCACTTTTAGGTGGAATTATTCACATCCTAAACTGTTAATGTAAGTACTATAAAA